CCCCCCCCCCCCGTCTTTGGACTGAACGTCACTGATGTCATTGCACTGACAGACGGACTCAGAAACAGATAGAAAAATGATGGCAATGACGGCGGAACAAGTGGAGAGAGCTGAGAGAGAGGTGATGAAGTACGTGACAGAGGGAATCCACTATGACAATGAGGACGAGTTGAAACTATTACGCGAAAGAGCACCGGCGTACTTCAACGTCACCTTCGAGATCCAGAGGTCAATAGCAGCAAACGGAGACAAATCGACGAGAGCGCAGCAGTTGCTGCATCGCTTACAGCAAAGTGCGTACGTGGCTAAGGACGAGACGTTGGCATGTTGCTCTGCGTACACCCTTCAGCGAGTTGTGGAATGGATGTGTGATAACGAAGACATCGACAATAATAAGAGAGAGGGAGGTGGTTTTTACGACAGATCGGCGTTCAAGAAGTTTGTCACATCTCGGGCGAAGGAAGCTCGAATGTTGAAGACAAAAGCGCATGACATATTGAAGAGTAATGCAGCAGAGATATTGACACTCAGCAGGATGAACGAGCTACCTCAAACAGACCCTGTTGACTACCATGATTTGGCAACAGTGGTGGTGGACGATGTCAAGTACGTCTTGCTCGATCACATTATGGATTTCATGTTGAAGACAGATAATGATACAAATTTGATTCACGAGGTCTTACACGAGGTGACAATGGACGCAATAGCAGTAGCAGAGCTTGCCGATGTCAAGAGTACAAAGGATGAAAATCAACTAGTGTCGGGGACTCCAATATGTCAGGGGGAAATATTCACGATCCTGGAGGACCTCACCAGGGCATCAACGGAAGCGGAGAGAATGAGCAAAAGAATGCAAGGATGGCAATTGGTTGTTGCGGAAGCAATCAATGCGACACACCATATGCCAGATAGCACACTGCACACTACAAGTGGCGTGGGATCTGTAACAGCGGTTCAGAACCCGTTGACGATTTCTAGTGCGGATACGTTGAGTGTCCATAATGCATTCAGAGTGTGGGGATTACCACCCTATCGTCCTTCACATGAGATCATCGAAGGAAACGAACAAGTGCATTCCAGGGAGTGCATGCGGATGGCGGAACTAGTGAGAGTGGCAATGCACAGACAAGGGATGATGAGAAACCGCCGTCATGGGAGGTGGGATTGAGTGACAGTGATATCAGCAATGACGAGGAGGGTGACGAATACGACTCTTATTGGGACGTTCAGCGTGGTGGTGGACAGGCCCCGAGAGGGTGGTGTCATGCAATTTTAAGGTTGGCACGTGTTTTCGCAGAGCCACACCCGTTGATACGTGTTGTGGACAAGGCAATAACACCGGACGGGTCTCTTCAGTTTGCAGGCGTTAAGGCAGTTATGTCGTGCATGGAAAACGGCAAACGATGGCGTCACACAGGAAAATCATGATTTGTTCTCGTACATAGGGAGAATTCTTATGACATCAATGTCATGGGGTGTGAACCTCAGTTGCATCATACATGGAGTAGTTGCCGCTGCATGCGGAAGAACCATGCATCCCACAATGTCAACAGCACATGCAATTATAAATGCACAACCAAAACGCCGACTCTTTCTCATCACTGACGACACCATTGATGCTGCGAGGAACAGAGGACATTCAGAGGAAGAACATTCGAAACGCAGAAATATCTAGGACTCTCTTTCTCTCTCTCTCTCTCTCTCTCTCTCTCTCTCTCTCTCTCTCTCTCTCTCTCTCTCTCTCTCTCTCTGTTATTGTTTTGACCGTAGCACAGTCACTCACGCTTGTGATGATTTGGTTGGGAAGTGGGGGCCATATATGAAGACATTGTTGGTATATTACGGAGTAAGTGACACCCACTTCCCAACCTTGTACAAATATGAGGTTTCTATGTCTTTATTGGTGAAATTGCATCACATTTACAGACCGGTCTTCCAGATACATTCGTGACAATATCGTTGAGATGTCGGGGCCGTGTATTAACATGTTGTTGTCATATTCCGCCATAAGTGACACCTAGTTCCCAACTTTGTTGAAATGTTGCAGTTACACAAATTGGTTCCTAAGTCATCTCTCTCTCTCTCTCTCTCTGTTATTGTTTTGACCGTATCACTGTCACCCACGCTTGTGACGATGTGGTTGGAAAGTGGGGGTCATATATGAAGACGTTGTTGGTATATTACGGCGTAAGTGGCACCCATTTCCCAACCTTGTACAAATGTGAGATTTTTTATGTGTTTATTGCTCAAATTGCATCACATTTACAGACCGGTCTTCCACATACATTCGTGACGATATCATTGAGATGTCGGGGCCGTGTATTAATATGTTGTTGTCATATTCCGCCATAAGTGACACCCAGTTGCCAACTGTGTTGAAATGTTGCAGTTACATAAACATCTTTCTCTCTCTCTCTCTCTCTCTCTCTCTCTCTCTCTCTCTCTCTCTCTCTCTCT